ACATTCTGCAAAATGCTATTTGAAACAGTCTGGGGAATCCAAGGTGAGAAAAAGAGTTGGACATGGGACAGAGAATAATAACTTGTAAGGTGAGCCAAAGCTGAGACCTGAAAGAGGCGTTTCAAGAAGCAGAATGGGGGGTAAGAGAAACGGAACAGGTCACATGCCAGAAAAAAAGAGGGGAAGCCGGTTTGACAGCATCATTCCCAGGGTGTTTCTGCATACTTTATTTATGCCCTGAAGGGAAGAACTGCTGATGCCCTCAGAGCCACCAGGGTAGCTGGGCTTCCCCAACTTTAGAGCAGGAATAGTCTCTGCTTCACACAGAGCAGGCAGCTCCACAGAGCCCGGTGTGTAACCACGTCCTGTGCTTTGACTGCAGATACACCAGACAAGGCACATTTTTTTCAAAATCCATCTGCGCCCAGTCAAGCTGCAGAAGTTGCATTTAGGTATGCATTCATTTCACTCAGTTCCCCAGCTTTCATTCACATTCATTCAATTGATCCAACTCTGTTCACACTGTCAAATCCCCATACTCACAGCCCCGGAAAGGTGCTGGTTTCACCAGGATCCATGTTGCATGTAGCAAAAGGGAAGATGGGCACTTGCCATCACCCCCTTTTGTTATTGCTTGTGTTATTTTCCACTGGCAGGGGAAAACTGCCTGTGAAAGCTTGTGGGACCCAGCACTGACTGTGGTGGCATCCTTGTGTTTCACAGTTTGGCTACTGCTGCCTCCATGCACTTCATGGAACTTCTTTGGTCATTTTCTGTGTTTCCATGTTCTGTGGTCTGCTCCCAGCTGAACCAACAGAAAATAAATGTTATTTGTGATGTGCTGTCCTCCTGTCCAGCATGTCAGATGGTAGGATTTTCTGGTGACAAGTTGTCTGTGCTGCAGAATGCAAAACTTCCGCTTTGAGAAAAACAATTCATTTCTCGATTTTACTGCCTGAAGCTGTGGTTTTAACATTCTTTTAACCTTTGCTCTGCTGTTTCTTCTGGTGCTTATACACAGCCACTTCCACTCGTACTTTGCTCAGACCAATACTTTCAGTTTCAAGTCTCTGCAAGCTGATTTTGCTTGCTACAAAGTCAGCTGAATACCAGAGTCAGGGCAAATAAGGAAATACTACAGCTGCAAGTGGAGGACAACAGATTCACAGATGTACAGGGTAGCAAGAAGTTACAGCAATCCAGCCACACTGGTTTCTAACTTTAAGCAAAGGGCTTGATACTTGAGGTTGGAATCACCATGAAAATAACACCATTTTGGGACTCCTTCATACAGTGATCCCTTTTGCCTCACCCAGTTGTGTTGTTTCACATAAACTGGTTCTGTTTAGAGTTGCTAAGGAAGTATTTGGGCATTTGTATTTGCAAGACATAGTAACAAACAGGATAAATCCAGCAATGTTTCTTTGTTTCCTTTTACTCAGGCCTGGTTCAAACCCCTTCTTGAATGTATTTAAGTGGAGAATGGACCGTGCTTGCCAAGACTGCATTTGTGGTTTCTTTCTGCTTGCAGTGCTTCACTTTACTGCTCCATGCTGTTAATAATGTTCCAACAAAGTATGCAGCAAAACTCTTCAGGCCAGTAGTTCAGATTTCTGAGTAGATTAATGCAGAAATGTATGTTTTCCCTGGAGCTGGATGGAAAAAAAAAAAAAGAAAAAAAAAAAAGACAAATAAATAGAAGCAAATTAGTGTACAATTTGCCTGATTCATTATTATTCTTATCTACTGTTTAAAGCTGGCAATATATTGCTGACTCAATGTTTGAATTATTTTCTTCCTTATCAGTCAGTCCTGAAACTACCTCAAGTATGGATCTGAGTTTTATTATCCTTGATGATCTGTTGACAACCTGAGAATACCAATATCCACACCTAGAGCAGAAACCAACCCAGAACTATCAATTTACTTCTCTAAAGCTATTGCAGTAAGTAGGTATGATTGGCGCTGACAAAATTGAAACAGTAATCAATATTGATACAGTAATTAATATTTGGAAATCATGAAACAGTTAAAGGTGTAATGATAAAAAAGAAAGGGAGAGAAGCCCCTCCCCCCCCCCCCCCCCCCCCCCGCAGCTGGGCAGGGGAGAGGATCCGATCTGCTCCCCTGCCGGACTCCAAAGAGGAAGTCTCTCTGGGAGTGCTCTGCTTTTAACCCCTGTGTGTTCTCAGAGGCGTATCCACATCCACCTGTGGTAAAGGTGATGATGAGGGCGGTGATACAAGTGTGACGAATTGAAAATGGGAGGAGATGGTGATGGCATACAGCATAAAGGGGAATTTTGGCTTGACAAGCTGGTTCGTGAGGGGACGGGGTCAAGCCCTGCCCTGTGACCCCACGCAGTGATTTTTGCTTATGCGCTATTATCAGAACCAAATTATCCCTTATTTTAACCAAATTATATTGTCAATATTTCGAGTGTATTCAATTTTATATGTATTAAGCTACTTAATTAAAATTGCTGTTACATTTAATTTTGTTTGGTTTTTTTGATTGGATAATTGGGCAAATATAACAGTGTGACGTGGCAAACTCCTCCTTCTCCCTTTTCTATTGCTTTTTAAAAACCATTTCATTGGTTCAATTATCACAGGAATGGGACAGATATGGGGAAATATGCCCAAAGAAAAGGTTCTTACATAGCCTTCAACAACAAAGAAACAGCATACCATGGCAGTACCACCTTGGCCTTATCCCTGGAGGTGGTTCTCTCTGCATCACCTGAACAGTGACTGTGACTTTGTAGTTTCACGTGCCGTTCAAATCAGGCATCAGCAACAGGCAACACAGGCCACTCACTTTATTTGCAAGGTTAACTTCCTGATTGGGAGGGAACAGTTGATACTGTCCCTGAAACTCACATTTCCAAAGGGTTTCAGTATAAAACTTAATCTCAAATGGATTTAATCCTCAACCCTCTTTCGAGGCAGTATTTGCTGTGCTGCTTCCCCATCCCACAGACCCTCCCCAGCCCTACTTCAACACTAAGAGGACACTGGTGCTTCTGCTTCTGTCCTGGTTTAACCACAGCCAGCAGCCTGGCCCAGGCAGCCACTCGCTCACTCACTCCTCACCAGTGGAACTGGGAGAGAATCAGAAAGGTAAAAGCTGGAAAACTCCTGGATTGAGATAAAGGCAGTGTAATAGGGAAAGCAAAGGCTGCACAGACAAGCAAAGCAAATCAAGGAATTAATTGCCTGCTTCCCAAGAGCAGGCAGGTGTTCAGCCATCTCCAGGAGATCAAAACAGTGTCACCATGTGCTGGGAAGACAAATACTGTAATTCCAAATGTCCCAACCTTCCTCCTGCCCTCCACCCGCTCCCAGCTTCCCACGCACCCCAGCCACCTCCCCAGCGTGGCAGTACAAGGAGTAGAAAAGACCTTGGCTCTGTGCAAGCACTGCTCAGCAATAATGAAAACATCTCTATTATCATTCCTGTGTTTGGGACAAAGCCAAAACACAGCCCCACAGCAGCCACTTGATGAAAATGAACCCTACCTGTGAAAAATGCATATTTTATGATTGGCTTTTCGCAAATATTAAAATGAATGCTGTATGTGTTATGTTAGAAAGTTCTGCTGTATTAATTTTCTTAAGTAGTATGTTATATATAGTTTTAGGTTATAACATAATGTTAAAATAGAAAGTGTGCTATGTAAGATACTTTTTTTTTTTAAAAAAAAAAAGGACTCGCAGCTAGATAGCAGCCAAAAGACACCTAAATCTTTCAGAGAAAGAGAATTGATTGCTCTTTTATCAAGAGAAATTAACTTCTTCCCACCATGAAGACACCGTTGGAATTCAGAGGAAGAAGTTGACACTGACCAGACAAAATCCTGTGTTTGAATGGAATTTATGCATCATGTATGAGGCGTATGAATGTGTAACAGGCTATTGCTTTTAAGGCTTAATCCTCTGTTAACGGGTGTCCTTTTTCGGGCTTATTTTGCCCAGAAAAAGGTACCCAGACTGTCCGTAACTCTTTGTTTTTATTGTCTCATATTGTCCTAATCTCAATTGTTCAAATTTTCTATTACTATTGTTATAACCACTTTATTACTATTAAACTTTAAAAAATTTTAAAAACAAGTGATTGGCGTTTATCACACTACCCCAGCCAAAACCAGCACAGCTTCACAGCCCTGCCAGGACACTCTGCTGCACCCAGTGCTAATCAGCAGCTCACTGCCAGTCGGGAAGAAAGTATTGGCATTGCTACAGAAATACTAGAGTCATTTGTGTATGTTATGTGTTTTATCCTGCATTATAGGCTTAATGCTCTGCACTAGATTCGTGTCAGTGTTGAGAGAGAGCAAAAGTTAGCAAGATGAGTGAGGAAATGTGGCTGCCTTATCTTGGAAGAGTGTTCCACGTTGGATGGGGTGTGGAGCAACCTGGTCTAGTGGAAGGAGGCTGCGCAACGTAGGGGGTGGGACGAGATGATCTTTAAGACCTTTCCAACCCAAACCACTCCGTGATAACAACAAGGAAACCTCACAGTCCTTTCAATCACGTTTTGCATTATTTATTTCCCGTGTGACGTTCAGCCAAGAACGCCTCCCTGCTGGGCAGGTCCCTGCCCACAGCGCGACCCGGCCCCACCCGTGCCTTCGGTTTCGATTCCCGTCGAGCGCGGCCCAGAAGCGGTGCCGAGTCCCCGCCCCGCTCCTGCTCCGGTTCCCGCTCCAGAGCAAAGGTTAGCAAGATGAGTGAGGAAATGTGGCTGCCTTATCTTGGAAGAGTGTTCCACGTTGGATGGGGTGTGGAGCAACCTGGTCTAGTGGAAGGAGACTGCGCAACGTAGGGGGTGGAACGAGATGATCTTTAAGACCTTTCCAACCCAAACCACTCCGTGATAACAACAAGGAAACCTCACAGTCCTTTCAATCACGTTTTGCATTATTTATTTCCCGTGTGACGTTCAGCCAAGAACACCTCCCTGCTGGGCAGGTCCCTGCCCACAGCGCGACCCGGCCCCACCCGTGCCTTCGGTTTCGATTCCCGTCGAGCGCGGCCCAGAAGCGGTGCCGAGTCCCCGCCCCGCTCCTGCTCCGGTTCCCGCTCCCGCCCCGCTCCTGCCGCAGTCCGCTCGCGGTCCCGTCCCGGTCGGAGCAGCGGGATGTGCGACCCGGCCGTGTCCAGCTTCCTCACCCAGACGCTGTGCGCCCATGGCGGGCGGCTGCCGCTGCGGGAGCTGCAGGAGAACATCGGGCTGTCGGCGCCGCAGCTGCAGGACACGCTGTCGGCGGCGGGCCCCCGGCGGTTCCTGGTGGTGGGGGGCGGCCAGGTGGTCCTGGCCGTGACCGACGTGCGGGTCTGTGTCCGCAAGGAGTGCGACGGCTGCGAGCGGCTGCACCTCTGCAAGCTGCACCTCATGGGCAGGTGCCACCTGGGGCCCAGGTGAGCGCGGGGGCAGCCCCCAATCCCCTCACCCCCAAACCTCTCACACCCCCCAAAAACCTTCATATCCCCTCCCCCAAACTCCCTTACACCCTCCAACCCCCCCATGC